AGAAATATATTGATAAGTAATATTGAACAAAAGATGTTCAAAATCATGTTCTAAACAATATGCAACCTTTCATTTTTCGCAAAACGTCCCCATTAAGGAGTTGAAGGGTTGGCCCCTAAATATTTCTTTTGCAAATAACTCGAAAACGAAAAAGAATCTCTGAAGAGTTGTTGAACAAAATGTGTTCAAAATCCTAAGAGCTTTAAGATGAAGTCAAGAGAAAGGGGCTGGGCACTCAAATTAGGGGCCAATGGGGGACAAAAGTCTTCTATCTCTAATTCTTTATGAGTTAATATTTTGTAATACATTACTGAAGCAAAGATGTTTATCTCAATGATTTACAACTATATAATATGATTTTTATGTCGTATGGCTCATGATTAGGGGCCATAAGGGGCCAGAATGTTAAATCTTTGACGCTTTATATCTCGAAAGTGAGAAATATATTGATAAGTAATATTGAACAAAAGGTGTTCAAAATCATGTTCTAAACAATATGCAACCTTTCATTTTTCGCTAAACGTCCCCATTAAGGAGTTGAAGGGTTGGCCCCTAAATATTTATTTTGCAAATAACTCGAAAACAAAAAGGAATTTCTGAACAGTTGTTGAACAAAAAGTGTTCAAAATCATAAGAGCTTTAAGATAAAATCTAGAAAAAGGGGCTAGGTACTAAAATTAGGGGCCAAGAGGGGCCAAAAGTCTTTAATCGATAACTCTTTATCAGTTTATATTTTGTAATACATTACTGAAGCAAAAATGTTTATCTCAACCATTTACAACTATATATTATGATTTTTATGTCGTATGGTTCATAATTAGGGGCAACAAGGGGCCAGAATGCTCAATCTTTGACGCTTTATATCTCGAAAGTGAGAAACATTTTGATAGGTTTTATTGAACAAAAGATGTTCAAAAAAATGTTCTAAACAATATGCAGTCTTTCATTTTTCGCTAACGTCCCCATTAAGGAGTTGAAGGGTTGGCCCCTAATTATTTCTTTTGCAAATAACTCGAAAACGAAAAAGAATCTCTGAATAGTTGTTGAACAAAAAGTGTTCAAAATCCTAAGAACTTTAAGATGATATCAAGAAAAAGGAGCTGGACACTCAAATTAAGGGCCAAGAGGGGCAAAAAATCTTTAATTGATAACTCTTTATCAGTTAATATTTTGTAATACATTACTGAAGCAAAGATGTTTATTTAAACAATCTACAACTATATATCAAGATTTTATTGTCACCTGGTACATAATTAGGGGCTACAAGGGGCCAGAATGTTAAATCTTTGACGCTTTATATCTCGAAAGTGAGAAATATTTTGATAAGTAATATTGAACAAAAGATGTTCAAAGTTAAATTCTGAACAATATGCAACCTTTCATTTTTCGCTAAAGGTCCCCATTAAGGAGTTGAAGGGCTGGCCCATAAATATTTCTTTTGCAAATAACTCGAAAACGAAGAAGAATCTCTGAATAGTTGTTGAAAAAAAAGTGTTAGAAATCATGAGAGTTTTAAGATGAAATCGAGAAAAAGGGGCTAGGCACTCAAATTAGGGGCCAAGAGCGGCCAAAAGTCTTTAATCGATAACTCTTTATCAGTTAATATTTTGTAATACATTAATGAAGCAAAGATGTTTTTCTCAACAATTTACAACTATATATTAAAATTTTTAAGTCGTATGGTACATGATTAGGGGCCAAAAGGGGCCAGAATGCTCAATCTTTGACGATTTATATCTCGAAAGTGAGAAATATTTTGAGTAGCAATATTGAACAAAAGATGTTTAAAATCAAGTTCTTAACATTATGCAACCTTTCATGTTTTGCTAAACGTCCCCATTAGGGAGTTGAAGGGTTGGCCCCTAAATATTTCCTTTGCGAATAACTCGAAAACGAAAAAGAATCTCTGAATAATTGTTGAACAAAAAGTGTTCAAAATTCTAAGAGCTTTAAGTCGAAATCAAGAAAAAGGGGCTGGACAGTCAAATTAAGGGCCAAGAGGGGCCAAAAGTCTTCAATCGATAACTCTTTAGCAGTTAATGTTTTGTAATACATTACTTAAGCAAAGATGTTTATCTCAACAATTTACAATTATATATTATGATTTTATGTCGTATGGTACATAATTAGGGACCACAAGGGGCCAGAATGCTAAATCTTTGACACTTCATATCTCGAAAGTGAGAAATATTTTGAGAAGTAATATTGAACAAAAGATGTTCAAAATCATTTTCTGAACAATATGAAACCTTTTATTTTTTGCTTAACGTCCCCATTAGGGAGTTGAAGGGTTGGCCCCTAAATATTTCTTCTGCTTTTAACTCGAAAATGAAAAACAATCTCTGAACACTTGTTGAACAAAAAGTGTTAAAAAGCATGAGATTTTTTAGATGATTTGAAGAAAAAAAGGGCTGGTCCCTTACATAAAGGGCCAAGAGGGGTCAGAATTGGAATTTATGACAGTTTAACGTTCAATATTTAAAAAATACCATCACGGCAGCACAATCGTTTTTCTTAAGAAAATTATCATTGTAAAAAAATCTCAATCAAAATCTTATCTCATCTCATCAAGAATCGAACGGAAGACCCACTCGTTGTTCACAACGAGATCTCATCTAGTTATTTTTCTTCTTCTTCTTCCTGGGTACTTTTTTGTCCGGGAATGATCTTGTAAACTGTACGTCCGATGTAGGTAAAACCTTTTTAGGGTCAGTAGACATGTTATGTAGATTTGCGGAATTAAGGTCATTTTGCGCGCACGTGCTTGCAAGAGCGCGCACGTGCAAAACGTGAAATGACCAATATAATGGATATTGCCGTAACTTTTCTATTTTTTGATGAATTTTTTGGAAACTCATAATGTAAGAATACATTAGTAATATAGACAAGATGACATGGTCAAAATAGCAAGATCTCACGCGCATGCACGTGCGCTTCGCTCTGATTGGCTGAAACTAAAGTCTCAATATCTTTCTTGTTTTTTGACAAAATCCTTTGAAATTTTGAACATAGCCATGCATTAGGATATCCTACAACATAATATATAGCAATTATCATAAAAACACGTGCATGCACGTGCGCTGATTGGCTGAAACTTTAAATAGCTATAACTCACGTGGTTTACAACCAAACGGGGTGGGATTTGGATCATAGATAGATATAATGGACTTCTACAAGAAGGTATGGTCACCATGCACATGCATGCACGTGCGTGTACATGCGCTGCAATCTGATTGGCTTAAAATTTAAACAGCTATAACTCCCTTGGTTTACAATCAAACGGGGTGGGATTTCAAACATAGATAGATGTAATGGACTTCTACAAGATGGTATAGTCACCATGCTCATGTATGCACGTGCGTGCACGTGAAAAAAGTAAAATAACAAATACACTTAAATGAGCGTATTTTTTAATAGTTTTGGATTAAATACTTTAATATTTAGTATATCAGAATATATAGATTGTGTAGACAAGATGATATGGTCATTACGCACATGCATTCACATGCGCAAGCGTGCAATGCTTAAATTTGAATGAACTTGGTACACATCTGGGTAAACGTTGTTAAAGTCTTAAATGCATAGAGTTTGTCCTATTTAATGAAGCCTCCAGGGAATATGGCACCAAAAGGGAGTTGGGGAGCGTTTGGGGAACATCTGTAACGGTCTCCGTTACAATTAGCACTAGTTAAGAAATAATTTGCGTTCCATTTTGGTAAACAACTAATGAGAGACTAGAATAAAAACAAAATTTAATTATATATTGATAAGAATTGAGTTGAATAATTAAAATAGCAAAACATAGGTAATCAAAGATTACGAAGCTCACCTCGACGAATGTTATCAGTTTAAGTAATGCAAATCTCACATCATATTTTCTTAATATTTAGTATTCATCCCAACAACAATATTCTTGCAAGTTGTGTTTAACCCCTTACATGGCATATACACATTTCTATGCGTGTAGCGTGAAAAACATGAATAGTGTAAACAAATATTCATAACTGTTAATACTGCAGATATCAAGGACTTCAAGTTCATTGGGAGTGATCTGTTCCCAAAACTTTAACCTGGTCTTTTGTATGGAAAATATAGGTCAGATCCAGCATCCGAAGCAAGTCTGATAGTGTCCATCCTTAGATGCATTATCCATGCAAGTTTGGTTGAGCTAGGGCTTATAGTTACTTGGGAATGAATATGTAGGTAAGATCCAGCATCCGAAGCAAGTCTGGTAGTGTCCATCCCTAGATACATCATCCATGCAAGTTTGGTTTAGCTAGGGTTTATAGTTACTTGGGAATGAAAAAGTAGGTCAGATCCAGCATCCGAAGCAAGTCTGGTAGTGTCCATCCCTAGATGCATCATCCATGCAAGTTTGGTCCAAGAAGGGCTTATAGATACTTTGAAATGAAAATGTAGGTCAGATCCAGCATCCGAAGCTAGCCTAGTAGTGTCCATCCTTAGATACATCATCAATGCAAGTTTGGTTCAGGCATATATGGCTTATAGTTACTTGGGAAGGAAAATATAGGTCAGATCCAGCATCCTAAGCAAGTCTGGTAGTGTTCATCCCTAGAGCATCATCCATGCAAGTTTGGTCCAAATAGGGCTTATAGTTCCTGTGGAATGGACCTGCTCAAAAAACTTTAACCTGGTCACTCATCTAGAAAATGTAGGTCAAATCCAGCATCAGAAGCAAGTCTGGTAGTGTACATCCCTAGATGCATCATCCATGCAAGTTTGGTCCAGGTAGGGCTTATAGTAACTTGGGAATGGACTTGCTCCTAAAACTTTAACCTGGGACGCCGACGCCGACACCGACGCCGACGCCAACGCCGGGGGTATAGCATAAGCTCATCTCGACTTCGTCGATGTGAGCTAAAAATCTTTTCATTATAAATTAAATTGATTTTGCGAAAGATAAATATTCATAGGTAACTACTAATTAAATTATGAGTTACATTTGTGAATTTGGAAAATTCAGTTTACATTATACGCACCTACTGGGCTGAATTCTCAAAGAAATATGAAATTTAGAAAAATCCAATAAAGTAATTTCGGTTTCAGATAGAAATTACCATTGACGTGGAGTGAATGCATAATAGCTCTCATACACTATGAATCAGCGTGTTTTAATATTATTAAGACTGGGGTTTTCATTGCGCAATTTTTCCCGCATCATAGAAAAATGAAGCGTATTTACTCAGGTCGAGACCACTAGATTTTCTGACGTCAGAATAAATTTGCATGTAAATTAGCTATCTGTTGACTTTACCCACTGATGAATGAGTCCCAATGCATTGTGGGCTACTACAAGTACTCAGCTGTGTTGAATATGAAGGCCAACTTGAATTGTCACTTGGAAACTTTTTTCAATTCTTTTCGAGAAGAATGGAAGAAATATATAAAATGATGTATAATCTTTTATTTCTATGCTCACATTTACAAAATTTGCTAAGCTTTATGAAGCCTTATATATCAACTTATAATACATCGACCTAAACCATTGTTCGAAGAGACGTACATGTAGTTGCTATCGTGTCGATAAAGCATTGAGTTTTTTTTTTCACGTGATATACGTGTACATAATTTTAGACAACAGTACACGGTGCGCTATTATTATTAAACCCCTAGATATTATCAAAAAGTTTTTAATGTAAATGCAAACATCAAAGCGTTTGCACATTATTCGAACTTTCGATGCAACCATTAATGATATAAAAACAACTCCAATATTAAATGTGAGCATGGAGCAATGTCTTGGTAATGTAGTAATCTTTCGATTTCGGACTTAAAAAGTGACAAAGAAGCTTTACGGTTTTTCCGGTGACGAAGTGAATGTTATGCCGAAATCGATGAAAACCACTGTCATCATTGAATCGTAAACATGTAGTAGAGTGTCATGCTTTCGGACTCATTCACTTGATTGGCGAACGGTGTGACGAAGATATCGTCACGTGTTGAAAGTTGCCTTCCATATAAGGTAGTGGTCTCGACCTGTTACTGTTTTAAAGCCATTTTTTAAATCAATAAAATCACTGAAGTTAAAGTAAGTTATCTATATAGAGGAAATAAAAACAAATATTTAGACTTTAACATTTATTATTTGGCGTTGTTGGTCGTGGCATAATATATAAGCAGCAAAGGGTCGCCAAGTAGAGCAGACCCAATATTAAAAAAAACACAGTTCCTATTTAACTGCTAAAAGAGCAACGTCTTTATTGGGAAGGGTTTTTAAGAAAATGTAATCAGGACTGTGATTATTTTTTGAAAATTTTAGGAGCTAAAAATGTCTGCTACCTTTCTGCTTGAAGCGCATGTAAAAAAAGGATGAGTATACCGAACCCGGCTTTGTACGCCGAACTCGAGCAAAATATTTCCTTATAAGATAAAGGCATCTATATTAAATTTATATAGATGCTGTTATAAATATAGAAGAATTAAAATATTATTTATACTTAAACATTTATTGTTTGGCGTTGTTGGTCGTGGTATAATATATAAGCAGCAAAGGGTCGCCAAGCAGGGCCAGACCCAATATTCAAGCAACAATACAATACAAAGCAAATCAATGATTTGGCTGTTCCAGGTTTACCGCAAACAGTTATTATCATTTACCTTTAAGCTTATTCAAGTTTTTTACTTATAAAAAGTTTTTAAAAATTCAAATATTGTAACAAGCACAAAATAAGCAGCACAAATTCAAGCAGCATTTGTTTGTTCCGGGTTGACCGTGAACAATGAAATAAGATGTTTATGTATTTACATTATAAAATATAAAGCCAATGTCTTCAAAATATCATACACAGTCAGATGCACAAACTTGACACATCAGTTGAATGGATGGGCGCAAATGCCACATGACCTGAACCCCACACATGAGGAGCTCCATTCAATTGACCCACGACCAACATGTAAGGATTACCACCCATCTTAACAGTGGGTGTCAGGGAATACTGACCCACACCCACTGTTAAAATATTTAAGACCCCCCTTGATGTTGTTCAAGACTAAAGATAAGCCCCTAGATCCTAGCTGGAGTACCTGACATGCAGCTGCCCTATTCAATCTTTCACGTACCCGTTCCATGGCAGAAATGTCTAACGAGTGTCTGTATGTAAGGCGTGGCAAAATTTGGGACCAAACAAGCCTTGTTTTGGGAAGGAGCTCGGGTAGTTTTGTTACGTCTTTTTTTTTTTATTGTAATAAGCTAAAGTAATGGTAAATCTGGTTCCCCCAAATCCTTTCCCCCACGGTGAATGAGTATGAAGTCTGGATAATCTTGATATTTGGCCAAGAACAGCACTTTTTTCTTTAAGTTAATTAACTTTAAATCTGAGTAGCCTTGCCACCAATTATCCATCCCCAACCTTTCCAATCCTAAATGAACCCCTCCTGTTCTAAGCAAGGCGGTCTGAAAGGCATGCTTGACTATGGATGACCCAAAACACCATACAGTAGAATGACATGAAAAGCATAAATTTTACAAACATAGTTGTTTAATAGGGCAGCGAATATAAGACATATAAACTTGGGATTTCCATCTACCTCGAGTCTTCTCTCTTTCAAGCAGCATACATGTTAGCATTTTTGGGGTTTTTGAGTGCTGGGGAATTAACATTGTCAAAGGGTAATAGTTTTGATTCCATCATTCTAAGGTCAGACATTAAATTTGGTAGTGACAATTCTGAAATGTATTTGAGCATAAGACATTCAAGAAATGACCAGTATTGGGAAAAGGTTACCATTTGGATTGAAAAAACTGGTTCTCTACACTTCCCAGTCAGGTACATGTTAGAGTTTCTGTCTATGAGACCGGCAGTCAAGGGGCCATTATTCTGCCACCTTAACCATTGTCCTCTAACGAGATATCAATTCACAGCAGTTTTACAAAAAACAATAAATCTTCTTGGGTTTCAGAGCTGTAATTATAAACCCCATTCTTTTAGAATCGGGGCTGCTACCACTGCTTACCAACAAGGATGTGACCAAGATTCTATTAGAGAGGCAGGTAGATGGAAATCCCAAGTTTATAAGTCTTATATTCGCTGCCCTATTAAACAACTATGTCTGTAAAAGTTATAATTTTCATGCCATTCTACTGTATGGTGTTTGGGTTATCCATAGTTAAGCATGCCTTTCAGGTATAGGATTCCACAAAGCACCTAGTATAACATATATAACATTAGTTTTATCTTGTATTATATCTGTGTCGGTGAATTTGGGAATACATTGATTTATTTGCAGATGATATTACTTTAATACAACTTGTAGAATTGATTTTGTAATTTAAGAAGTACAATGTACATGTATTTTATTTTTGACATTTTTGTAGAGACCATTCTGTGCCACAAAAAAAATTCAGGAAGGGGAGAACTGGTGGATTTGCATTTTTGGTACAGTTCAAAGAGATTTTCAAAAGGGAGGACAACTGAAAATATTGAAAAGATACAGAAGGAAAAAGAACAAGGAAATATATGGAATAATTATGAAATGTGGAGGATGTACACAATCTTGTCTGAATTTGACCTGTAAAGTTTTTCCATTCTTCTTTGTATGCTGGAATATCAAATAACTAGATTTTTCATAAATTTACAATAGAAAATACATTCATGACAAATGTTATTGCTGATATTTAAATTTTGCTGTGGACATTTTCATGTCATATGGTATTTTTATACAAGTACATGACCTAATTATGTTATTTATATGTACATGTATACATGTTTAACTACTTAATCATTTTGCTGAAATCTTATAATTTGTACTCATTCTAGAATATGTTAAATACATGTATCGACAAATCATACTGACTTGTTTGTATATTTTCTTGTACACCGTGAAAAATAAGTTAGTTCTCTTGATGAAAATAATTTTATCAAAAAAGTTGTGTAAGCATTATAAGATATTTTTAAATAATTAACCAATGAAGATAGATCATTGTAATGAAATGAATTTTCATCTAAAGCAGAAATATCTGATTTTTAAATGTGTACAAGAATGTGAAAAATATTGAAAGAGAACACACATAAGTATTTCATATGATTTACATATGATGCCCTTTTCATATGATTCTCATATGTAAATGGCTTGAAACACACAAAAGTGTTTCATATGATTTACATATGATGCCCTTTTCATATGATTCTCATATGTAAATGGCTTGAAACACACTTAAATCATTCATATGAAAATCATATGTAGTTATTTTCATATGATTCACATATGTGGATTATATGTAAATCATATGAATTGCTTCATTTGATTCACATGTGATGCCCCTTTTCTATGATTCTCATATGAAACCAATCATATCAGAATCATATGATACTCATATGAGAATCATTTGTGGCTAAGTTGACTGTGTAGAGATATGACATTTCTAGAGCTGGTTTCCCTGGTATTAGGGATTAGTTTATGGGGTCATGAACTAACATGCAAAAAGGTTTTGTTTCACATTGATAATCTTGCTTTAGTCAGTATAGTAATTAAACAAACGTCAACGTCTAAGAGAGTAATGAAGCTTGTTAGGCAATTGGTATTAATGGCTATGGAGTTTAATTGTATTTTTAAATCTAAACACATTATTGGTAGTACTTATAGTATTGCTGATTCTATTTCTCGCAAGCAGTGGTGGCGGTTCAGGGATCTAGATCCAGAAGCAAGGGAAAGTCCAGAACCCATTCCAACCAATTTTCTTCAAACGATTTACAGTTGCAAGAAGAGAAACTATTGGATGCCTCCTTGTCAAAGAATACAAAGCGAGCATACGATACTGGAATAGCTTCATTTGAAAAATTTAGTGATGAATTTAGCTTTTCAAATATTTGGCCTCCACTCCCAGAGCATGTTGTTAAATTTATAACATATTTATCTCTGAAAAAGTTTACTTCATCAATTGCTAGATTGTATCTATCAGCAATAAGGTTTGAGTGCAAGTCCAGAGGTCTAGTCGATAAACACAAAGATTTTTTTTTTGGTTTGTAAGATGTTAGAAGGCATTAAGAGATTATCAGTTACGAAGGATTCAAGAATTCCGATTACCCCTTCTATACTATGCAAAATAATCAAATTTGACCATCAGTCTGAACGTATAC